TTCAGGCCAAAGCACGAAACCTTCTTCCCACCTAGGGTGGCCCAGCACTGGTAACCTACTGCAGGGAATGGACACATTTCTGCCAAAAGCCCCTGGGTTCCAAGATTTGTTTCTGAGTCTCTGGGATCATGGCCATTAAGCAGTTTGATCAGGAACCAGAGAGGCCTTGCCTCGAATTATATAGCTGAGCCAGAGGTGGTTTGTGGGTGTGTCTCCCACATACCTAACTTTTGGCTGTTTACTTTCTTGGTAAACTTGGCCTCGAGTTGTTGAGGTTTGGCCAAATGTACAGCAGCAATTTCGGGGTATCTAGAAGTTTGAAGGCACCATCAGGCTGTTGATGCACTGACCTCGCAGGTACAGATTGACCTGCTGGTGGCACCATACCCTATTCCTAGATCTCTTTACTGTCTCCATAGTACATCATATTTTTCCCAGCTTGATATCTCTGTCCATGTTGTACACACCGTTTTAAATAACTCCTTCCCTGCTCTTTGCCAGTCTGAATCTCAAGTATTCCTTAAACATGATTTAATTGTTTCAGCACTGGTCAATTTTTTTTAATAACAAAATTTTAATCCCCTCTGGATTTCTCTATATCTTGTTGATACCCCATAAATTAGTTCTTAGCTACATTTTAACTTGCATTATTAGCAATTTCATGCAATATTTATACTTATATTTTACATTAATGGGTATGAAAATTCAATGAGGACTATATTCCTTGGTCTTATATTTCTGTGGGTAAGCTCAGTACTTCAATGGAAAGTCTATAAATATTTACTTGTTGATTGAATTTAATAACATGAAAATATGACAAATATTGCATTATTGTATTAGCCATTTTTAATGGTAGCTTCAAAAAAATGATTTTTTTATTGGTTTCTTCTTTCAAGTTGTGATGATAGTACAACTCTCCAGCCTCTGTCAACAGCAAGGAAGAAAATCTATAACCAGTGACAATCTTTTTCTTATTAAGTTTTTTGACCATACCCGGAAATGTTCAGGGGTTACTCCTGTATCTGCACTAAGGAATCTTCCTGGTGGTGTTCTGAGGGCCATATGGGGTTCCAGGTATCAATCTGGGTTAGCTGTGTGCATGTCAAGCACTCTCCATGCTGTACTCTCTCTCCAGCCCCCAGCCATGATCTTTGAGTCATTGGTCTGTCAAGTATGAACAATGTGAAAAATGGTTACCTAAGTGCTCTCACTCAGTTCCTCTCTGTGTTCACCTGTCAGTGAGTAGAGAGTTTTATCGCAGAAAGCTGAGCACAGAATGAGAGGTTCTTGCTTGGCACAATGAGAGCCAAGAATCTGGGGCCAGAGAAAAGGATCAAAGGGCTAGAATTAAAAGAAGAAGGAAATTTATGTTAACAACTCAAACTTACCACTAAGTGTACTTTTAAAAGTATTTTTTCAAATAAGAACAATTTCTTTTCAAAATTCAAATTTTAAAATATATTTTTCAAAATATATATTTATATATATTATATAAATATATATAATAAGGATAAGGATTGTTTACTTACTTCTGACAAGTATTTGCTATAAACACCATACACTATTTTGGAGGCAGTATTATATAACGGAAAAGCTAGGTTTAAATGACAGCTCCAGCACTAACTACTTCTATGATTTTGGCAAGCTCTGGACCTCCCTATATCTTGGTTTTCTCATATATAAAATGCAGTAATTAATAGTTATTATCTATAGAATTACTATGAGAATAAATGAATGAGTATTGTAAACAATATAGTAATTAACATACATAAATGCATATGGTATCACCCACTTTGAGGATAATTGCTCTAAGTGAATAGGCATGTCAGGATAGGGGAATATTAGAGTAGAAACAAAATTACAACACCACTCAGGAGATAAGGTCTTTTCTTCCTGAGGAAGATAAGGAAGAAGAGTTGAGATATAAAGAAAGGAATGTGGCCAGGGATGTAGAATAGCAGTATTTATTTTCCATCCGGGGACTCACACATGCAAAATGATGTGTAAAATGAAGGGAAAGAGGGAGGGAGGAAGGCACAGAGGAATGGAGGAGCAGAGGGACGGGGGACAGGGGGAAAGCATTCCTTCTCCATGGACTGCTCTAAAGACTCCATCATAATGAAGGAAAAAACATGTTTCATAACCATTCTGGGAAGGCTCAGGAGAACATTGGTGGCCTAAATACATAATAGCATTAATTCAGCAGCACTTCTTAACAGAACAGAAGAACCGAGTTTCAGAATCTGAGGGATCCCTATGCTCCCAAAGCCTGCGACAAAACTGAGGACAAACCAGGGTTGCAGTAAGGACACTGATGTACTGTATTTTGCTGTATAATGTTGCAATCATTTAATCATCACACTGCTTTTTCAGTAAGAATTGATTTACGACATTAAAAAAAAAACTTTCGGAGCTGGAGCAATAGCACAGTGGGTAGGGAGTTTGTCTTGCATGCGGCCAACCCAGGTTCAATTCCCAGCATCCCATATGGTCCCCTGAGCACCGCCAGGAGTAATTCCTGAGTAGGAGTAACCCCTGTGCATCGCTGGGTGTGACCCAAAAAGCAAAAAAAACAAACAAAAAAAAACCTTTCACATACCCACCTTTTTGCAGAGAAAAACAAATGGATATGTGGTGAAACATGGTAAAGCGAAGGGCCAGTGTGTAACCAGGGTGGTGTGCCCAGGGCATATAGACTGCCCTAGACTCTGACCCCAAATAAATCCAGAACTATTCAAATGCAGGTGACTCCTTTGCCTTATTTAGTTTGCCTGACAACAAATGTTTATTTTAAAACGAAGTAAATACAGATCTGAGTTGCTACAAAGCAGTGTTAGCTCTGGAATGAAATGGTACATGAAATGTGCCCTTTGCTGGTAATTAAGTCAGGTTGCATTTTCAGATCAGTGTGGATATTAGGTCCTGGGTCGGAACCACCAAAAGACTGAATACGGCCATCCATTAGATGGACTCCATCCCAATTAGATGTTGAGTTTTCAGAGCATTAAGTATAATGGTTAGGGCAAAAGGGTTGAAAAACATACTTTGCATGCAGGAACTCCAGATTCAATCGTGGAACCTCATAGTCTCCCAAGTAACAATGAGTGTGACTAAAACATGAAGGAGAAATGGTTGACTTGGAATATAACTCAATCATAGAGCATAGGCTTCACATTTATGAGGTTTAATCCTGGTCATCACCACCAACACCATCATCATCATCATAAAGGTAAAGGTAAAGGCCCTCCCGTTGATCGTCGATTTGCTCGAGCGGGCCCAGTAACGTCTCCATTGGAGACTTTGTTGTTACTGTGTTTGGCATATCGAATACTCTCGGTAGCTTGCCGGGCTCTCCGAGAGGGGCGGAGGAATCGAACTCGGGTCGGCCATGTTGGCCGCGTGTAAGGCGAACACCCTACCCGCTGTGCTATCGCTCCAGCCCATCATCATCATAATTCACTGTTACTGTCACTGTCCTCCCGTTGTTCATTAATTTGCTCGAGCAGGCCCAGTAATGTCTCCATTGTGAGACTTGTTGCTACTGTGTTTGGCATATCAAATACACCACAGGGAGCTTGCCAGGCTTTGCCGTGCAGGCGAGATATTCTCAGTAGCTTGCCGGACTCTTCGAGAGGGGCAGAGGAAGCGAACCTGGGCTAACCACGTCAGCCGCGTGCAAGGCAAACACCCTACCCGCTGTGCTATCACTCCAGCCCATCATCATAAAAACAAAAATAGTAGTAATGGTAAAAGGGAAAGGTGCCTCTAAATCAGTATTTTTCAACCTCCAGTCCTCAAACCAGTGCCAGTCCACAAAAATTCCTTTCCAGTCTTTGGAAAAAGTTATGCATTTATCTTTAGACATGATATACCTGATCAAATGAGAGTATTTTTATAACGATTGTTGTGTAAATATACTTACTATAATGATTTTTACTTCTACCTTAGTAGTCTGTGAAATATATTTCCTATTTTTACTGACCCTTAAGTGTTAAAAGATTGAAAACCAAGGACTGGAGTGGTAGCACAGCAGTTAGGGCATTTGCTTTGCACGCGGCCGACCCGTATTCAATTCCCAGCATCCCATATGGTCCCCTGAGCACCGCCAGGAGTAATTCCTGAGTACAGAGCCAGGAGTAACCCCTGTGAATCGCCAGGTGTGACCCAAAAAGCAGAAGAAAAGAAAAGTTGAAAACCACCAGTACTCTCAATGAACAAAATTACAAAGCATAGGAGAGCATCCTCTAGCCTCCTGCTGGGTAAGGAAAAGTTCTCAGAACCAAAGAGAAAAAAAGCCCCATGAGACTGCACTGTTATAGAAGTGAGTTCACAGAGTGAACCCCATTTCACAGAGTGAACAGAGTGAACAGAGCCAGGAGTAAGTCCTGATCACAGCTAGGTGTGACCCAAAATCCCCAAAATAAATAAACAAATAAATCAATAAATAAATAAAGGGCAAAAAATGAAATGGGAGCAATAGTACTATTTGTGGTAAGGATTATATATAGATTAATATTGAATAAAATGAATGTAAAGTAGTCAGTGATGTATGTACCTTAGAGGCAGTAAAATAGCTAGTAGGATTTAGTAATTAGTTTTACAAAATTTTTTGTAGAAGAGCTTTGTGACTAATAAAACCCTATACAAATCAAAGGACTGTACGTTACTATTACAACAGCGATGCCTCCGGCTTTCCCCAATGCCTCCTATCTTTTTTCTTCCACTTCTTACTAATTTCCTTTCCTGGATTCAAGAAAGTACTTTCAGTCACAGCTATAATTTGAGTATCAAATAAAGCCCATAATTTGCTAAGGCTGCTGTAGCACATGCAAGTACTTCAGTGTAAATTATAAAAAGACATTTTATCTTCAAGTTAGTAAAACTTAGTTTTCCACTTAGTAAAAACAAATAGTTGTCCTTGTACAGTGTTCAATCTACATAACTGTACATAACAGTTCTGTGACTTGTGCTCAAAAACATTCATCTCTGTTTCTCTTTAGGTCCTGAAGCATTTACGACATATTAATTTTACCAACAACATGGGGGAGCAGGTAACTTTTGATGAATGTGGTGACCTGGTGGGGAACTATTCCATCATCAACTGGCATCTCTCCCCAGAGGATGGTTCCATTGTGTTTAAGGAGGTTGGATATTACAACGTCTATGCCAAGAAGGGAGAACGACTCTTCATCAACGAGGAGAAAATTCTGTGGAGCGGGTTCTCCAGGGAGGTATGTGCTTCCAGCAGAATGAAAGCAGGGGCAGTGGTGGATAAGCAGGGATAGATAAGGAACCAGCCTCTGTAAAGGAACAAACCACAAAGGACTGAGGAACTTTCCTCCCCTCCAGCAGTTTTCTGTTGTAAAAGACAGTCTGAACAGCACATCTATCCATCAAAGTGCTCCCCAGTGAAAGGATTAATCCATACCAAAATCTCACCCCTTTCAATGGTAGTTTGTTGTTTATTTTTTAATTTTCTCTCATGGGCTGGAGAGATGTTTCAGAGATTAAAGTACTTGCCTTGCCTGTGCCAGCTCTGGTTTGATCGCTGGAACACTGCCAAGAGTTCATAGCTAGGGGTAGCACTGTAACACTGTCCTCCCGTTGTTCATCGATTTGCTCAAGCTGGCCCAAAAATGTCTCCATTATGAGACATGTTGTTACTGTGTTTGGCATATTGAATATGTCACGGGGAGCTTGTTCGGCTTTGCTGTGTGGGCGAGATACTCTCGGTAGCTTGCCAGGCTCTCTGAGAGGGGCAAAGGAATCAAATTCGGCTCAGCTGGGCCAGCTACACGCAAGGCAAACGCCTTACCGCTGTGCTATGGTCCAAAAATCCAGTCAATAAAAAGGTCCTTAGATCAGGTTCATTCCTCTCCCTAAACCTCAATATATTGAGACTGGAGAGATGGTGCAGGAAGTGAGGAGCTTATTTTGCATGCAGCTGACCTCAGTTCAATCCTTCGCACCATCAGGGATTACTCAAGCATTGAGCCAGAAATAGCTCCTGAGCATTGCCAGGTATGCCTCCCCCAAAAGAAATTTTAAATACTGCATCCAGAAACTTAATCACCAGAATCTCACCACCCAATAAATGTGCACTTTGTAAAAGAGAAATGTTATTCTGAGATATATATGATTCTATAATGGTTGGTTCCTAAAAGTAGCAGGCTACTGAGGACCCACCTCTATCAAAACAGACCCTGAACAGGACATTCTCTTTAACTCTTGCAAGAAGACAGAATGAGTCCTAACACTTTCTCCTTGAATTTGTTCTTCAGTTATCACTCTTGAGGATCTTAGACCACTTATTACATAATATGACCACATCCAACTCCATTCTTTTGCCAACTTCTTCTTAGATTGATGAGATGCTATAATTTGACTGTCTCTCAAGATGCAAGATAGATTTATCCTGTGGAAGGTCTATAATAAACCACTGTGACTCTCATCCACAATGTACAACTCTTTACTAGCTTCTACCTCAGAAGAAGTATTCACAATGATAAATGCTATGACATTTTCCATGTCATAGACTGAGATTTTAGAGTTCCATAGACTCCTCTTTCCATTAATTCCATCTAAATTATCAGGTTTAAATAATATAGAACCTAGATATTTCAGCTATACTATCACCTGCCCCCACTGTTAAATAATTCATTTACATTTTACCCCAATTAATGTGCAGAATTTATTGTCTCTAATGGCATATGTTGACCCATTATTTTCCATTCACAGCCTAACAGAAACCAAGAGGAAATGTTACTAACTCATTTTATAAATTCAGTATCATCTTTACACCAAAATAAGAACAGTATAAAATAATTATAGGCCAATGTATTCACAGACAAATATTGCTGTTGTGACCACAGCAAAAGTTTTTACAATGAGTTGGAAAGTGTTCTTTTCTTAAATTTTCTGAATCTCTTGCATAATTTATATAGGATTAGAATGCTCTATTACCAGAAAGCTTATATACTTTGCTTCTGATGGGCACAGGATAATAGTTATCTAGGACAGGTCTTTGCAGTAAAGGAAGAAGTAGTTGGCAGAAGGAAACATTTAATTAGATGTGAGAATATTGTTCCAGATTTTGCTTTGGACAGTATTTATTAAAAATAACCAAAATTGATTCAAATATGAACATCTAATGATTAGGAAAAAAGATTAGAACTAATCAAATTCACTTTAAGCCCATTAAGGAAATAAATTAATTAAAACCTATTTATCTGAAATTAATGTAACTATTGCAGCTTTCTTTTCGTGAGTAATTAACAGATACAGATTTTTGATTCATTTTTTTTTGGGCTCTTTCTTAGGGGAGGGGGTTCTCTCAAGCAGTGCTCACAGGATCCCAGCCATTCCCAGTGTTACTCACGTTACACTCATGTGGGCTCTGAGAGTCCTTTTGACCTTTTTATGCCTATCTTGTCTGACTCTCTGAGCTGTTGGAAGAATATTCAAAATCATTCTCAGAGTCTAAAATAAAACTACAAAACAGGGGGCTAGAGTGATAGCACAGCAGGTAGAGTGTTTGCCTTGCACACGCAGACCGGATTTGATTCCCGGTATCCTATATGGTCCCCTGAGCACCACCAGGAGTAATTCCTAAGTGCAGAGCCAGGAGTAACCCCAAAAAGCAAATAAATAAATAAATAAAAACTGTAGAATTGCAATTCACTGTAAAATTGAGTTTCCCTTTCATACAAACGACCCCTCATCCATGCATCTCCGCTTATTACTGTCCTCTGTGTCTATACGTTTTTCTTTTCTGGAATTTTCACTTCCAGGAAGAATAAATCAATATCTCATTCTCTGACTGAAAGAGATGGAAAAAGGGATTACTTAAAAAGGATTTTCGGTTAATGTGTGGAATGTCAGTAATTAATCCTCCTTGTGTTCCTGTGTGTGTGTGTGTGTGTGTGTGTGTGTATGTGTGGTGATTGTGTATATGAGTGTGTATATCTGTGTGTGTGTGATTCCATCAGAATGAAAGCAGGAGCAGTGGGTGGACAGGCAGGGACACATAAGAAACCAGCCTCTATAAAGGAACAAACCACGAAGGACTGAGAAACTTTTCCCACAGTAGCAGTTTCCTGTTCTGAAAGACAGTCTGCACAGCATAGCTAACTGTCAAAGGGCACACCAGTGAAAGGACACTGGTGAATCCATAACCAAAATCTCACCCTTGGCACTGGTGGTTTGTTTGTTCCAGGATGTGTGTGTGTGTGTGTGTGTGTGTGTGTGTGTGTGTGTGTGTGTGAGCATGCCTGCACACACACATGCATCTTATCTTTCTCTTTTCCTTAACCATCTCTCTCTTTTGAACATAAGAAGAACAAAGACCTCTCATTTCCTCATTTCCCTTTGCCTGAAATGAGGCTGGATCTTTGACTCTGATCATTGGTCCCATTCCTGCAAATGTCACTGGAGCTAGACCACTGACTCACTTTTGTGATTTCCATCCTGTAGGTACCTTTCTCCAACTGCAGTAGAGACTGCCTGGCAGGGACCAGGAAAGGCATCATTGAGGGGGAGCCTACTTGCTGCTTTGAATGCGTGGAGTGTCCTGATGGAGAGTACAGCGATGAGACAGGTAAAAGAACATCCCTGAGGGACACCGTTTAGAGTTTAGTTCACTTTGGGGCCTGGAATCCTTGAGAAGGAATTTAGCACAGTTTCTCATCTAACAGAGTATGTTTAAATATTACATGGGAAGGGGAGAGGGGATCAAAAAATCAATAGTATATGTCTTTGTAACACCATTAGCACACATGTTACACCTAGATAAATGCTTGTAAAATAAAACCTTTACTGGGAATATTGGAAGTACTCTATAAATGTTAATGATAATTGCCATTTTATCACCATAATAATAGGTCATTTTTGCTTCCATTTTGCATATGAGGAAATTTAGGTGCAGGGAGGATGTAAATTGAGGAAACTAACACAGTCATAGAAATAGCAATGGCAGAGCCAGAATTCCTATCAAAGCCCAGGCTCCTTTGACTCACCAAGTTTTACTCTGCCTAGGATAAAGCAGAGACAACAAATGTCCATCGCTTGACTCTCAGTTGCAGAACTATAATAAGAGTCTACAGATTCTTTTTGAAAAACCATATATGCTGTGTGAGGAAGGCATAGGTCAGACATACCAATCCTCTCCATTGATCTACAGCAGTTTTCTTTAACCTTTTTACAACTTCAGACTAGCACCAGTCCTGCACACTAGACCATAAACAGGCAATTAGGACTGAAGAGTAGACCAGTTGTTTTCAATCTTTCTACACCTGTAGACCAGCACCAGTCTGTGGACCAGGGATGGCAGACCACTGACATAGAGGAAATCTATGACAAGCCCACAAAGCTCCTGAATATATCTAAAATAAGTCTGAGATTGACTCTGTCAGTGTTTGATGGGTTGATGGGCTATGTCAGCTCTGTGTTGTGTAGACGGGCCTCCAAGTAGAAAAATACGATTATTCTACTGCTATAAGTCATCAGCAGTAGCTGCTAAAAGAAGATGTAGCCCATCTTCTTTTAACACACACACACACACATCGCATACCACAGAACATGTGCAAAGGAAAATACCAGATATATGAAATTAAGTATAGTAGTAAACATAGGTCAGGATTCAATATATTATTTAATGATGTAAAAAGTTCCAATTAATTCAACAATGAGGAAAATTTTAACTGATTGCATTGGGTAATCTTCGTGCCCTTCCTGTGGCACGTGTTAAATTCACACATTTCATCTAGGCTCTACAGTAACTAAATCTTCCCTGGGCCCTTTTACAGACGCAAGTGCCTGTGACAAGTGCCCGGATGACTTCTGGTCCAACGAGAACCACACGTCCTGCATTGCCAAGGAGATTGAGTTCCTGTCCTGGACAGAACCCTTTGGAATAGCCCTCACATTGTTTGCGGTGCTGGGCATTTTCCTGACCGCCTTTGTCCTGGGTGTCTTCATCAAGTTCCGCAACACGCCCATCGTCAAGGCCACAAACCGAGAACTGTCCTACCTACTCCTCTTCTCCCTTCTCTGCTGCTTCTCCAGCTCCCTGTTCTTCATCGGGGAGCCCCAGGACTGGACCTGCCGCCTCCGGCAGCCGGCCTTCGGCATCAGCTTCGTGCTGTGCATCTCCTGCATCCTGGTGAAAACCAACCGCGTCCTCCTGGTGTTCGAGGCCAAGATCCCCACCAGCTTTCACCGCAAGTGGTGGGGGCTCAACCTGCAGTTCCTGCTCGTTTTCCTCTGCACCTTCATGCAGATTGTCATCTGCGTGATCTGGCTGTACACTGCGCCCCCGTCCAGGTACCGCAACCACGAGCTGGAGGACGAGATCATCTTCATCACCTGCCACGAGGGCTCGCTCATGGCGCTGGGCTTCCTGATCGGCTACACCTGCCTGCTGGCTGCCGTCTGCTTCTTCTTCGCCTTCAGATCCCGCAAGCTGCCCGAGAACTTCAACGAGGCCAAGTTCATCACCTTCAGCATGCTCATCTTCTTCATCGTCTGGATCTCCTTCATCCCCGCCTACGCCAGCACCTACGGCAAGTTCGTCTCCGCCGTGGAGGTCATCGCCATCCTCGCCGCCAGCTTCGGCCTGCTGGCCTGCATCTTCTTCAACAAGGTCTACATCATCCTCTTCAAGCCCTCCCGCAACACCATCGAGGAGGTGCGCTGCAGCACCGCGGCCCACGCCTTCAAGGTCGCCGCGCGGGCCACGCTCCGCCGCAGCAACGCCTCCCGCAAGCGCTCCAGCAGCCTGGGGGGCTCCACGGGCTCCACCCCGTCCTCCTCCATCAGCAGCAAGAGCAACAGCGAGGACCCCTTCCCAGCGCCCGAGAGGCCGAAGCCGCCGCAGCCGCCGGCCCTGGCCCCGCAGGAGCCGCCGCCGCCAGCACCGCCGTCCCAGCAGCCACCCAGATGCAAGCAGAAAGTCATCTTCGGCAGCGGCACAGTCACCTTCTCACTGAGCTTCGATGAGCCTCAGAAGAGCGCCCTGGCTCCCAGAAATTCCGCGCACCACAACTCCCCGGAGACGCGGAAGAGCAGCGATGCCCTGACCAGGCACCAGGCGTTGCCCCCGCTGCAGGCCGAGGAGGCCGACTTGGAACTGAGCCCGCAGGAAGCAGGACTGCCGGGACCTGTGAGTGGGGAGCACCAGCCGGAGACGGAGAGTCGTGAAGAGATGTCCCCAGCGTTGGTCGTGTCCGGTTCCCGGAGCTTTGTCATCAGCGGGGCAGGCAGCACTGTCACAGAAAACATTTTGCATTCATAAAACAGGAGGAGGCCAGTTAGGGGAGAATTCAGAGAGGGCTCCCGGGATGCTGCTCTCAGAGAGGGAGAGGGAGAGCCCCAGTCTCCTTCCTCCAAGGAAAGAACAAAATAGATAAACCAGATGTCTCTGGCTAAGTTGTCTCCAATGACAGCGAATTAGCTCCTGTTCCCTTTAAAATGAAAAAAAAAAAAGAGTCACATGCTTCTGTGGTTGCGTCTGTCACATTGAGAGCCCTAGTCAGATGTATTGCTCTAGTCTCTTCCTCTGTTCTATCACACCCAAGAGCCCAAAGATGAAACCAAGGCTTTCCTTTCATATATAGGCAATATATGTGTATACATGTATACAGACACACAAGTATCTTCCCAGAGCTTCATGGATAGCCTGGTCCAGAAGCAAGAGTGTACAGAAGGACAGGACGTCAGATCTGATACCACTACAGAGTCTGAAAGAGAACATTCCCCAACACCTCAACAGTGGGAAGAACTTTAAATGTTCTAAATCGTAAGGTGACTGTGTCCCCCTCCTATTTATGAAAAACATAAAATATTGTTCCTTGCTGATGCTGCTGCTGCTACTGTCATGTGACATCTAGAAAGTTGGCATCCCTTCTGTACCCATCTTTCTGATGTTTCCCAGGATGTGATCTTGATGCTGCATTTAGATTGCGCGATTACAAGAACTGCCTCAAATTGTTGGAACAGGACTGCATCATGCCAATGAGCTGTATCTGTAATTAACTTTGCTCTATGTTGCTTTATCCTTTAAAAAATGATTCTTTTGTAGCAGCCCATGGACAACATAAGCAAAAAAAAAAATCTCACAGTCTAGTTTATATAAGGCAGTATTATGGAATTCCATTTTTCTTGCCCACTCACTGCCCTCAACCCCTTGAAGTAAGCTTCATGTGGGCCCCAGAAGACCAGAAACTCCCCTGTCCCTGTACCCAAGGCTTCCTGAAGCTAGACATCTACTTGCCTCTATGGAGAAATAAGTTCCCAGTCCTTGTCCCAAATCAGTTGTGGGACACTGTATTTGGTTCCAAGAAAGCTCATGGGATACTAGGCTGGCACACCACCATACTCTGGCCTCTCCAGATGCCATTCTACATTCTCTCCAGCACTGGGAGTCTTTGTGGGGATCACTCCAGGACTGGAAAGGCAGGGAGACCCCTGGATTCAAGCCTTGAATTGATCACTCACAGGTTGGGTGACCCACAGGCAGAAAACTTAACCTCGCTAAAGCCTCAGCTTCTTTGTCTTTAAATTGGGAATAATTATCATTCTTTACCCTCAAAACTCTTACATGGATTAAATAGGATAATGTATGTAAAGTACTTTAGCAAAGTGCCTATCACATAGTAAGCACTAAATAAATATTAGCTAATATGATGACTGACGTTGTAATTACTTTCTTCACTTGTTTCATGTAGAAAAACTTTTTAGTTTACCATGAAGATTCTAATGACAAACCTAATAATCACAATAAATTTCTCATAAGAAGCTCAAGATTTCTAGGGTCCAGTTCAAGGAATCTGTCATAGTAACATTGCTCATATTGAAGAAGTCAGTTCTCCAAAAGGCTATCGCTCCACCTCGAGTTCTGGCACCCAGATTTCCAACACCAAAGAAGATTTGCCCACCTGGTAGAAGTTTCTCAGAGCACTCTAAATGCTTCTCTTTGTGCTGGTAGGTCTGGGAGAGGCATCAAACTCTTGATAATGTCTTCCTATGACCACTTTCTTCCGGAGGGCTTCCTTTCCACAGTGTTTACAGAAACCTGTTGATAATGAAGGCTATTCATTTGTGTGAAAAAGCATTGGAGGAGGGCCTGGGGATATAGATTGTAGTGGAAAATAAGTTTCATGTATACATAAGGCCTTCAGTTTGATCACCATACCCCACAACCACCATCAACTAAAGACATTGGAAGGTGCCACGTGAGAGTATAACTAAGAGAATAACTCACTCAGAAAAATCCTGGTGGAGTATGTGTTCCCCCAACCAGAAGGGGGAAAGGGCGGCACCCACCCAAACCAGCCTATTCTTCCCACCCCTCTCATACTTCTGAGCAAATGACAGAGATGAGGGAAGACTTATGTTTAATAGTTAACATTTCACTTGATCTTAAAACACACAAAGAGAGACAAACACAAGTTTGATAGCTTGATTTCCCTACGTCAAAATAATGGTGTGGAATAGTCAACAGTGTAATTACTGTGAAAAAAAGATTCACCCCTATAGCTCATCTGGAGGAGACCATCTATGAAAATATATGTACACTGAGCTTCATTTCATTGTGTTTGCAGAGAATCTCTCCTGATAATTTTTGTCAGGAAGATAGATTCAACATCATAGAGAAAGTTTCTGTACAAAATCTAGGGTTTAAAAGCCTCTTTGTTCTTTTTCTATAACAATCTAGTTTCTGTCTCAAATTCCACAGTAACATCGTGTTAGAAAATTAGGGTTTCCTAAGTAACTTCAGAGTTTTCTGAATGAATTTGAAATTGGGGAGTTGATTTAGAAATTTCTTCTTTCTTGGAGAAGGGTTTTGTGGTGTACAGAGGATGTTCCTCAAGCATCAACATTTCCTATGAATCTCTGAGAACTTTCTACACCAACCCTCAAAAATTAATTACTCAGGTCTCTCCCTCTGAGTCTTCTCATCTGTATAGGGTTCCCATCCATAGATTCCACAGTGATTTTCACTAGTTCATCACTTTTTCCTTTGTGCCAGACCCCTCTCATACCTTCCAGGTCTCTTGGGAGAGAAAATACAGGAGCTCAGACCCCTGGAGCAGTGGTTAGGGCCTTTCTCACATCACCTGGAACAACCTGTCTACTTAACTACATTAAGCACTTTCCTGTCTCTGTGACCCCATGACAGTAAAGAGAATTCATGAGAGTAATACATTTCCATTGCACATGAGGAGAAACAGGGAACATATTTCCAAACCTGCATAGACATTTTGGAAGACTGAATAAAGATTCCCCCCAAAATAATCACATCTTCATCTCCAGAACCTTTCATTATATTATGTCACTTGATAGGTGAATTGATATTGTTAATCACCTGATTAAGAGATAAAATAATTCTGAATTATGCAGGTAGGGCGAAGGTAATCACATGATTCCTTACACGTGGAAGGAGGAAGTTGAAGGACGCCATGTGAGAAATCTTCCACCAGCCATTGTTCTCCTTGAATATGGAAGAGAGCCATAAACAGAGGAATACAGGTAGTTTCTAGAAATTGGAAAAGGCACAAAAATCAACTCTCTCAGAAAAATCACTCTCCCTCCCCCAACCAAAAAGTTCTAAGCAATATTGTATTTTTCCAGATTGATACAGGGAAGTTTGAACACTAAACTCTAAATTTTTCTGGACATTGGTTTAAGATCATTAAAAGCCATATTCTCTTAGTTTATTTTTTGTCAGTGAAAACATGGGAAAAGAGCAGCTTCAACAAACTAGGCCTTGCTTCTCTTTTGCATAAAATCAGTCAGGAGTTTTAGGAAAGTTTGGCAGGTGGCAATGGGGAAATTTTCATCTTTTTTTTTTTTAATAAAAATGAATTCTACAATGATAAAGTATTTGAAATTAAAGTGTTTCCTAAAGTATTTTAAGTATTTTAATTAAGTATTAACATTAAGGGCTGGAGTGATAGTATAGAGGTTGAGGTGCTTGCCTTGCACATGACAATTCCAGTTCAATGTCCAGCATCACATATGGTCCCCTCAGCACTGCCAGGAGTAAGCCCTGAGCACAGCTGGAGGTGCCCCAAATTTCAAGATAAATAATCAGGATGTAGTATGATAACCAAGAGAGTTCTATGATTATTAAAAGTTGTCTAACTGCATGGTTTCAAATTTGGGGGACTTGGGTGACCTTATCTCTGACTCCATAGTTGTATTTCAGGCCAATGCTTTCTTCTGGATAAAGTCCTCTCAGTGTGAGTTAGCTCTCTGCATAGCACCAGTTTCCCTCTGTCACCCACCACCTGCATGTGAACTCCTCAGTGTCAGAAAGCAGCAGAACATCAGTAGGAAATGCAAGTGTATCATTGGAGGAAGCAGATTGCTTTGGGGTATTCACCTAGCTGATTTCTTTAGGAATTCATTTGAGAAAAAGGCCTCTCCTAAAAGTGCATGGAATATAAGTGAGTGTACTGAAATTATAGAGAGCTCATCAGTCTGCCAGAGACCATGAATTTCCTATACCAAATCATGGAAAAATACATGAAGTTAGATGAAAACCAATAAAAGCAGCTAAGCTAAGACTGTATTCCTCCTAGGTCACAGATGGCAAATACTGTGGAAACAGTAAAATAGATGAGATCAAAGACTGATAAAAACTTCGTAACCAAAACAGAATTTGATTCTTGACAAAAATGTTAGGAAATAGTTTGGGAAGAATTTTTTAAATTTTATTTTATTTTTCACAATATTTGACAATTCCACCACCATTATACCTTCCCACCACCATATTTCAGATGTCTCCATACCAAACCCCAACTCTTGCCCCAAAGCAGAACAGAAATAATTTATTGTGTATGGTTTGTTATGAAAAATTGCTGAAAATGCTCCAAAAAAGTTTCCATAGAGAAAAGAGTGTTAATATTGTTGTATTTCACTCAGGGGCCATTAAGCCCTTCTATAAGAGATCACTAACATGTTGTTAAAGGTTGAGCCTTGTGTGTGTGTGTGTATACATATATATATACATATATATATATCACTGTCACTGTCCACCCATTGTTCATCGATTTGCTCAAGCAGGCCCAGTAACATTTCCATTGTGAGACTTGTTACTGTGTTTGGCATATCGAATACATCACAGGTAGCTTGCAGGGCTTTGCCATGCAGAATATATATATATATATATATATATATATACATATATATATTTGTAAAAATATATAGTGGGGCTGGAGCGATAGAACAGTGGTAGGGTGTTTGCCTTGCAAGCCATCGGCCCTGCCGAGCCGGGTTCAATTCCTCTGC